CCAAACATGTCTCACCCCTCTCCATCTCCACTGCCACCAGCTGAGGTAAGCTACCCTCACCTCTGGCCTGGACAATGGCAACAACCTCCTGACCAGTCTTTAAAAACCTCCAGTGGCTGACCATGGCATTCAGACAAAAATTCAGCTTCTCTCAGTCTGCCAAGCCCATCACAGCCCAGCCTCTGCCCACTTCCCTGAGCCCATCTCCTACCGATCTCCCACTGCCCACTCTGCTCCAGCCAGTGCCCTCCCTTCTTCACCCCAACAAGCCAGCTCTTTCCCACCTCAGAGTCTACCTGAAGGCTTGGCCTCCCCACTCCTCAAATCCTGGGTGACATCACCTCCTCGGGAAGGCCTCCCTGGGCTGCAGTCCCCACCCACCACCCGCTCTGTCCTATCACCTGGTCATGGCCTTCCAGCACTTACTATCAACTGAAGTGAACTTCTGCATGTGCTTACTATCTGCCACACCCCCTTTGAAAGGAAGCTCTGGGAAGCTTGTCTTTTTCTCTCTGTACCTCAAACGGTGGTAAGGGTGTTGGAGACACTGAAAGAGCCGTGGGACTGATGGTGAAGGAGGGAGAGTGCTGCCCTCATTTCTGGTGTGGCCCCCTCTAGTGCAATCTCCATACCACAAAGTGATCATTTAGGACTTAAATCACAAAACTAGTCATTTTAGACATAAAATACAAATCTGATCATGTCATCTCCCTGTTTAAAACCTTTCAACGGTTGCTCATTGCTCTTAAGGTAAAGTATAAAGTTCTGAACAGGCCCGAGGCCTCACAATCCTCACACCATCCAGAGCCCCTCTGGCCTCTTCCTGTCCCCCATGCTGCCAAGTGTCGCACCAGCTCCCATCACGTCCCCACCTGCCTCCTCACCAGCCGACTCCTATTCAGCACAAATGTCAACTCTTATCATTAAACATCTTTCGTGAATCTAAAGGCCCTTTATACTTTCCTTTGAACTCTCTCCTTTGTCAATTTTCTGGCTGGATTGCTGTCTTTCCCTTATCAATTTCTAGGCACACATTATATAGTGAGGATATCAGCCTTTTCCTGTGATATGAGCTGTAAATATTCTTCCCTAGTTTATCATTTATCCTTTGATTTTACTTTTATTTTGTCATTGCTAAATTCAGTATTATACAGTGTATCAATCTTTTCTTTAATGGCTCTGGATTTTGATTCATAAGTACAGGCCTTCCCCATTCCAAGGTTATAAAGGAATTCACCCATGTTTTCTTCCAGTGCCTTTATCGTTTCATTTCTTAACATGTCGACCGATTAGGGTGGCCTTCCCTAACCCCCTACCAGGTTAGGGCTTCCTTGTCCTTCTCCTTTATGGCACTTCTCCCAATTGCAATGAATTAATTAGGATTAAATTAAGTGTTAAATGTGTGTGTCCCCCATTAGGCTATTAGCTCCACTCACAAGGACTCAGGCTGATTTGCTTACCCCAGAGTCCTGGCTCCTATCTCAGGGATGGCAGAGTGAACACTGCTAAATGCTTGCTGACTGAATAATCTTCTCTCCCCAGTCCACCTTAGGACCCCACTCCCACCTTTCTCACCCCTCTGCCCACGCGCCAAGGCTCCCAGATGAACTGAGTATCTGGAGCAAAGTAGGAAGACAGTCTACTTCCTACTGGAAGGGGAAGGAGGGCTTCAAGTGGTGGGGGGTCACCTGAGCCTGGAAAAAAGTGCGATCTGAGTAAGCCCAAAACACCCAAGTTCTCCCTCTTTCCAGGTCATCTGTTTTTTCACCTTCCAAAAATCTCATCACTCCACTGCTGGTGGCCTTTTTGGTTCCCGCTCTCTGCTTGGAAGCTACTGCCAGTTCACCATTATGAAACTGAACCCTTCCCACCCCCACATTCACCTGCTCTTGGTGCAGCCTCTGAACCTCCTCCAGCTCCCGCTGGCTCCCCTCTTCCAGGTTCTTCCGGACAACCTCGGCCCCGGCCAAGGCAGCACGCAGGCCCTCAGCCTCAGCTCGGCCAGCCTTCTCTGCCCGTGCCACAGCCTCCAGCTCCATGGCCTGGGCCTCCAGCCTCATCTTCTGCTGCAGTGAGGTCTCCCGCAGGGCCCGGACCTCCTCCTCAAGCCGCCACAGCTCTTGCAGCTGCCGAGAGATCAGCTCAGCCTGCTGGCTCAGGGCCTGCGACCCCTCCAGGGACCTTCAAAGATAGATTAGCATAGGTGAGACTTGTCTCTGGTGCTAGGAAAGTGGCCAAGGGCATAAATGGAAACAGGAGAAGGAGAAGAGAATCCTTCTCTTCCCACATGGGGAGATGAGGAGGATGAAGCTGGGCCATGGGGATCTCTGCATTTCCCTCACCATTGTCATTCGTCGAGGCCCTACTAAGCACATCAGGTCCACTGTCTGGGCTCACAGGACCTAAGGCTAGCTGAGATCATGGAACACGATCTCTAGAGAGAGCTATATACAGGCAGATATATTAAACATCAACTGTGCACATCATTAGGCCACACATTCTGAATTGGAGAGGCTGGAAGAACATGCAGAGACTTCTGAATTCTGATTTAAGGGCAAGGAAAAGTATGAGGCAGGTATGAAGAAAGAGGGGAGAATTGCCACCTCCTGAAACCCACTCCAGTGCTCCCCTTTCATCATCATTATCCTTCCTCTTTGATGGGGTCCAAGGTAGACCCATCTGCAATTCCACTCTAGGGCAAAATGGCAGCATGACGTTCCACTACATTTGGGAAAAGACGCACACAAAACGTCAAGAATTTTTACAGACAACACATGACAAATAGCATGACCACCTCCAATGGCATGTACTCCATCCGAATGAATCCACATACTACAGTACACAGTCTATACTCCTAGTTCACACTTCTTCATCTTGCCTTATACTATGCTTATTATGATCAGCTGTTGGTCAGTCTCTTAGGAGGTTAAATTCCTTGATAGCAGGGTTTCTCTTATTCATTTTTGTTATCCCCATCCCAAGCATCTAACACACTGCCTTGTTATTTATGCATTGTAGGCACCAATAGTTGCCTATGTAAAAATAACCAAATTATAGAACTAAGGGTTGAAATAGGGTAAGGAATCTTTTTCAGTGAAGAAGGGTCACTGGCAAGCAAGCCCAAGAAAAGTGATAATGGATCCCTACCTGCCTCTCTGCCTTGGCTCCTGACCATTGCCAGAAACACCTCGTTCCCACATGATCACTTGAGGTCTCTGGTTGTCTGGCCGCCTCTCTAAGACATCTTGATGGGCCAGGGGTTGGACCAGGGGAATGTCTGAGATCCAGGTGGGAGCCATTCTTGGCACAGCTGGAAGGGGTCGAGCTTGGAAGTGGGATGGGGGAATCAGCCCAGTGGAACCTGAGGAATCACAAGGACAAAGATGGTCAGCTTCCCAGGGAGAGGCAATCACCAGTCCCCTTGCCAGGTCCCACTGACCTGAAGGTCGAAACATTTCCACATTATTTGAAGTCTCTAGATTCAGTGTCCAGCCATCTATGTTCCCCTGGACAATAGGAGAAACAAGGACACTCCAATTCAATTTTCAGGCCACCTTCCAAAGAGAAAGCCCCTACAATAACAAAGTCACAATCCTTAAATAACAGCCAGGTCCAACCAACCCTTAGCTCCTCTTTTCCTGCTTTCCAAAAGAAGCAGGAAATACCCGAAGATCACTTGCTTGACCTAATCTAGTTCCTGACAGAACTATGACAATAAGCATGAGATGGAGGGAATTTACTGAGACGGTCTGAGAGGGAGCTCTCTTAGGCTTTACTCATACTTTGAGGACTCTGGGAGTGCCTTTACCCTCCTCAAGTTTCTATAGTCTCTGCCGTTCCTGGTCGGAGGTGAGAAAGGAGGTATGCTGTGCAGGGGTTGTGAGCCCAATCTCCAGAGTTCTCTCCACGGCTCAGCAAGGCCTTGGGGAAGCCCATCCAGACCCCACCAAGCCATGCCTCCTGGGTCCTTCCCTATTCAAGTGGTGGCCCCAGGCCTGGTCCCAGAAGAATCTGGCTACATGTAGGGTAGGATGCCTCCCCAGGACCCCTGGGAATCCAAGCAGCCTAGATCCCTTGGCAGAAAAGCCAGCTTCCTGACATCTCATCCAAACCCTTCCAACAACTTTCTTCTCAGTTTCTCTCTACTATCCCCTCAGCTTCCATTCCTGTCGCCCACCGTCCTCTCTCCGGAGTCCTAGAGCATAGAGAGGGTCTTCACTATCTCCCTACTCTCCCACCCGAATTCATCTATTCTCCCCCCAATCTGGGATTTCTCTGCCCCTCCCTCCCTCCTACTCTGTTTTTCTGAAGGAATTATTCTGTTCCCTCACTCTCACCCTCATCTCTCTATTCAATAGCCGGTTCTCTGCCCCCCCAACGCCCCAGATATCCCTGAGTCTTCACCCTGCCGGGCCCTGAGCTCTAAGGCTGTTCTGACCACCTCATCTGTTCTTTTACCCGGCCCCCCGTGCCCCGCTTCCCCTCTGCACCCCTGAACCCACCCTCGCTCCCCCGCTCAGCCCCTTCCCGCCCCCAACCGACTCTTCCCGAATGCCCCTTACCCAGCGCGAGAACCCCTCCCTCTGCCTTTTGACCACACCCCCTATATCTCGCCCCCGGGCGCGGCTTCCACTCCTGACCGCGCCTGCGCAAAGCGGGCAGGTTGGCGGGCCGCTCTAAAGCCCCATTTGACCCCGGAAGGAGGCAGGGAAGAGACGCACGCATGCGCACTAGTGTCTGAAGCCGGGCCCAATTACGGAGTTGAGACAGCTCCGCGCCCTGGCGGCTCCTCCCAACTCCGGGAACCCGGGAAAACGTGTGAACTAATCAGAAAAAGCGGAAGGCGGGAGATCAGAGACCCTCCCAGCGCGCCGCCCAATGGAGCGGAGGAGGGCAAATGATCTGGCCAATCAGGAATGGCACGGGGGCGGGCTCCCTCGGCGCGAAGTTCGGGCCCGGGAATTCCGAAGGCGGGGTCGGCGCTGCCCGCGCGCGGAGGCCGCGCCCCTTCTGGCCTCGGCTTCCTCGCTGTCAAACAGCCGCTGGAGCGCCGGCAGCGGCCGGAGCCCGAGGGGTCCCGGGGCCGCCGAGAGGCTGGCACTGCCTGGAGAGGAGATCACTCCGAGACTGCACCGCGCGGTAATCAGAAACGAGGCTGGGGCGTGGAGGGAAAAGGCTGGGTTTGCCTTGCATGATCTTGGGGAGCACTTTCCTCTGTTTTTATCCCACCTGGAGAAGCCGAGGTTTAGATCCATTTTGTTGGAGAGCGTAAGGACCCGTTTGCACTGCCTTTTGGGGGGTGACAGTGGATTCACTTCCCACTGGGGTTCAAGCTAATTAGTTATGAGTGAAGGATTGGCCAGAAGAGCGAGGCGCGGGCGAGCTAGATTACTCCATTTGGATGAGCAGATCTGACAGGAAAAAGCTGCTTTTCTCCAAATTACACTGAGGTGACAAGTTAGTATTGCACAGAAGCAGGGTCCCCCCATGCACACACCTACAGTATATTTCCCCAGAAGCTGCCTAATGTATATTGCCTTGCACAGATTGAAGGTTCTGCGAATATTTTGCGGCCTGAGGATCCGGTTCAACTAAGGTGCTGTAGGACGTGTTAGGGTTTGCACTGCACCGGGACCTTCTCCGAATTTTTCAGTTGCAAAGCTGCTTGACAGCCAATTTTGCATCGCGTGCCTAGGCTCCTTACCCTCCGAGTTTGCACTGTTCAAGGAGTGTGCTCAAAGCTGAAATTGCACAAAGTTCAGCTCAAGTTTGTGTCAGACGGAAAGTAACCTTAGCCCAGCCATGAATCGCCCAGGAGTGGGAAAGGTGACGGATTCCTGAAGTGGAAGAGGTGGTGGGGACGGGGCACCGCCCATGCTGCCCTGCTTCCAGCTGCTACGCATAGGGGGCGGTAGGGGCGGTGATCTCTACACCTTCCACCCCCCAAGCGAAGCTGGCTGCACCTATCGCTTGGGCCACAGGGCCGACCTGTGTGATGTGGCCCTGCGGCCCCAGCAGGAGCCTGGCCTCATCTCTGGAGTCCACGCGGAGCTGCACGCTGAGCGCTGGGGCGATGACTGGAGGGTCAGCCTGGAGGACCATAGCAGCCAAGGTGAGCAGTGAGCAGGGCAGCCTTGCACTTGGGCAGTCACAGTTCTGGGCTGGAATGATTAAGGGACTCCACAGAGACCCTGCCTGCCTCCCAGACTCCCTCTCAGGTTTGATGGACAGTTGTAGTCCAGTCCTCCATCTTCCCACCAGAAATGTGCTGTGTCAGAAATTCTTTGCCAGGCTGATCCTTGAGGGCCCCTGTTTAGCTCATGCTAGGACTGGGAGGTAGATCCAGGGCCTGGGGCATCATCAGGGAAGTACAAACTGTGGGGTTGCTCTGGGGCTGTTGGGGGCCAAGCTCAGACTTGACTCAGTTTCCAGCTTTGCTGAGATGTCTTGTTCCTGTCTTAGGGCAGTTATACGCTGAATTGTTTTAATGATCTTGGTCTGTGTCTTACTCCCTGGCTTGAGGGCAGCAACAGCCAGCCTCAGAAGTCCTGGGTTCACATCTGAGCTCTGCCACTGGGCCCTGGTGAAACCTCTGGCCTATTACTTTTCTTTGGGTCTTAGTTTCCTCTTAGGTAAAATCTAAGTCTTTGTAAGGTCTGTTTTGGAGTGTTGTGGGGATTGAATAACATTGGTAGCCAACAGTCATGCAGTGCTTACTATTACAAACCAGGCACTGTTTTAAGTGCATTGAATGTAGGTGAGCGTGAATATCATCCCCATCTTACAGGCAAGGGAGATGAGGTATGGAGAGGTTGACTTGTCCAGGGTCACATAGCTGGTAAGTGGTGGAGCTAGGATTTGAACCCACACAGGATGAGCTATGCTGATGATAACTTGAGTTGAGGCCGGATGAGTGTGTCTCTGAGAATTAGACCTCACTAGAGTGAGGGAAGGAGTCCATTCCCTTCGTGTGCCCTTTGGGAGGGCATAAGAAAAATAAATCTTGTTCCCAGCTCACAAGGAGCTTAATCTCTGATATCACCTGCTGAGGTACTTAGAATGTGAGAGAATTTCATGACAGGTGTCAAGTTCTTCCTCATGTGCCCCAGCAAATCAAACGGGGCCAGATTCCCCCACTCCTGACTGACTCTGGTCATTTCTGTTTTGTCCTTCTCTGTATCTGCCTGGTGTTTCACCATCAACAGGGACTTTGGTCAATAATGTCCGACTCCCAAGGGGTCACAGGCTAGAGCTGAGTGATGGTGACCTTCTGACCTTTGGCCCTGAAGGGCCCCCAGGAACCAGCCCCTCAGAGTTCTACTTCATGTTTCAGCAAGTCCGCGTCAAACCTCAAGATTTTGCTGCCATTACCATCCCACGGTCTAGGGGAGAAGAGGGAACCGGGGCTGGTTTCCGGCCCATGCTGCCCTCCCAGGGCGCTCCACAGCGCCCCCTCAGCACCCTCTCCCCTGCCCCCAAGGCCACGCTGATCCTCAACTCCATTGGCAGCCTCAGCAAGCTCCAGCCCCAGCCCCTCACCTTCTCCAGGAGTGGGGGTGGGCCACAGAGCTTGCCTGTTCCCACACCCCCTGGGGAAGTGGGGACCACTCCTTCTGCCCCACCCCCAAGGAATCGGAGGAAATCAGCTCACCGAGTGTTGGCAGAACTGGATGATGAGAGAGAGGCTCCCGAGAGCCCCCCACCAGTCCTTATGGAGCCCAGGAAGAAACTCCGTGTTGAGAAAACCCCACTTACACCCAGCGGGTAAGTGGAGATCGTTGTCTCAATTTCACTGGCTTTTTATTCATTTTTAGAGCTCCAGGCTGGGAGGTGGCCCTCTGCTCAGGGGAGGGAGATGGGAGGTGGGCAGAGGTGGAACACATGTTAGAATGGCAAGACCTGGTTTAGCTCTACTAACCAGCTTCACCATTAGTCTAGTGAGTCTATCTAGGTTCGCTCTGTGATTATCCAGGGGACAGTTCTAAGCTTCTACAGGTTTCCAGTGACCCTCGTTTTTATGTCACTTTCTTCAGAAATCGACGTGGGCGTCCTCGGAAGCACCCAGTGAGCACCCCCATGGCTCCCCCTGCAGTTGGGGGTGGGGAGCCCTGTGCAGCCCCTTGTTGCTGCCTGCCCCAAGAAGAGACAGTAGCCTGGGTTCAGTGTGATGGTTGTGATGTCTGGTTCCATGTGGCCTGTGTTGGCTGCAGCATCCAGGCTGCCAGGGAGGCTGACTTCCGGTGCCCAGGGTGTCGTATAGGCATCCCAACCTAAGGCCACCATCAAGGCACCAGAGGACAAAGCTGGCACCTCCAGGCCATGGGTGAACACAGTGGGATGCCACTGAGTCCTAAGAAATGCCCCCTTCTTCCCTTGCCTTCCCAGGAGGGAATGACTACAGGGGAAGGGTCCATTACTAAGGATATCGATTCAAGGCCTGGAGCAGGCCCTCATGGCCAAGGTGACAGAAGAGATGGCTTCCTACCAAAGATATTGCTGCCTGTAGGAAGTTCCCAGTGAGCTGAAAATTCCGTTACAAGCTGTAGGTCCTTGTTGTCATGGACACTAGAACATCTGTGGTCAGACCAACCATCAATTGCAGAGGCCATGCCTGGAAAGATGTAAGCCCCAGACTTGAACAAGTGAGTTCTTAATGTTCTTGGATGGCACCACCTAAGGAATTCTGGGAAAACCTAGACCACAGCCTCAAAACTTCCTGAACTTGTGGGTAGTTCTGCCACTGACCATGATGATCATGACCTGGCTTTTCACAGCTTTGCTTACATTTCCAAATAAAGAATGAGCATCTTCATTCATTCCTAGGCATTTACTCTTTTTGTGGGTCTGATACTCCTTGCTTTCCAATTCTTGGGAGAATGGATTTGGTAAGGTCTGGAAAACAAATTCCGAATCTCGGGGGAAGAGATGAGCAGACAAGGCACAGAGAAATATGAACCTGCTCACTGAAAACGTGCAAATATATGGGATGAGTTGGAGGTGGGAGACAGGAAAAAAGGAATCCAGGTAATTAAGGTTTCTAGTTTAAAGGAAAACAGATCCACTGCCATTAAAATAAGGTAGTTGGGGTTTTGGTTAAGTTCATAAAGGTGGCAGAACTTTACCAAGTCTCACCAGTGCTACCGGGAAGAGAGAAAACCTGGTACACCTGCTAGAGCAGATGCTGACCTGGTCCAAGTGGATCGACCTAACTCACATATAGTACATTGATTCTCTTCTGTGAGCCTTGCACCAAGCCAAGATATTGTCGAAGCAGCATTTCTATAGTTCTTACTAGGAAAGCCTTATCTCGACCTATTCTATTGCAACCTGCATGACCATCCCCTTCTGTCCTTTAGACTTACCATCCCAAGTGTTTTCCCCATCAAGGAAACAGCCCCAGAGCAAGGGCCCCAATTAGGTAGTGGCAGAGCCAGGACTAAAAGACTAAAACGTGGGGGGGTTGGGGGGGGTGGCGTTGGTGAATCACTTATGGAGAGGGTAGACAAAAACCTTAAGTGAAAACCAAGTGAATGCTGGTATCAAGAAAGCCCAAGGTGGAGTTTCTATAAGGGATATGCAGAAGAAGTATTTAAAGACTTGATTTCCTAGTATAAAGCCACAGGGGACTTCCAGATAAGAGTGGGGAAAGCAAAAAGCCAGCTCCTAATAGCTAACGGGCTACATGGTAACTGCACGTGTGGACAAAAATAAGTCGCTCAACTCAAATTTCCCCAGGACCCCACCTCATGGGCTCCTAGGAACAAGCTCATGCCTATAAGGTCCTCTCCAAATAAACCTGGACTCCAGTCCCAGCCTCTCCCTCTGACTTGTGACTCTGAGCAGTTTCAATGGCACCTTGGTTTCAGGGCCATTTGGGTCTGAGCTATTAATATATGCTATGGGGTCTTAGGTATCCCCCCATCCCCTTTTCGGTAAGCAGAGGAGGAGAAACCAAAGATAAAAGTATCTACTCGCTGTGTCCCAGGCTTCTTTATTTAAGAACAAAGTGATGAGTGATGTGGGGATTAAAATCAAGAGCATCATTGAACTTCACCTTCCCTCCAACCAGTTCCCCCAACTCCCTGCCCCACACCCTTTGTGTTCCCAATTCCTTTCTTAGTGAATGAAGAACCTGATCCCAAAGCCCTGGTAGGAACCCCAGGGTTCTCTTTCCCTAGCTCTTCCCTTTCCTCTGCCCCCATTCCTGGGAAGGGCGGGCACCTCAGTTTGAGTGCATGGGAGAGCCCAGAGTGGTGACAGACACAGAGGGAAAGGCCTCACCCTCAGGGAAAGGGACCGAGGAGTACAGCGTAGTGAAGTGAGGACCCCCATAGCCTGGGGTACCAAAATGGGGCCCTGGTGCCAGGGGAAAGGATACCGGTCCCCCTGAGAAAGGAGACCCGGCAGCCTCAAAATCCTCTCTTTGCGAATAGTCACTGCTTGATCGTTTGCCCTTCTGGCGACGGTTGCAGAACCACACTCGTACCACCTGGGAGTGGAAGATACAAAGGAGAATGACATTCAACCCCCAAGCTCCAGGAGGTGTGTCTGGCTTGGTTTGGTCATTTGACCCAAAGCCAACAGACTAGAGAGGCTGGAGGGCAGGAGCCAGAGCAAGGGGAAGGGAGGTAGAGACTGGGGAGGAGGAGATGGAGCACACAGGGACGGGGACTCACGTCCTTCTCGAGCCCGAGCTGCTGGGCGATGTGGCTGATCTGCTGCAGTGTGGGTTTCGGGCACTGCAGGAACATGTTCTCCAGGTTGCCTCTCACTCGGTTCTCAATACTAGTTCGCTTTCTCTTTCGGGCCTGCACCAGGGTCTCTGCTTTGCATATCTGCGCAGGTGGGAAGGGGGTGATAAAGGAGATGGGAGGGCAAGCTTCAAACCTAATGAGCAACAGCACGGTGGGGTCAGTGACTCAAGAGCAAATTGCTATGGGGGCATTGACTGGATGTGTCACCAGTGCCAGGTGGTATCTGGAAGCGTGGGTTTAGACCAGTGGCTCTGGGCTTTCTCCCAGCAGAACTGAGGAATTGCACTCCATCCCACTGAGGACTACTGCTCAAGGAGAGCCGCAAGCCAGGGATGGAGGCAATGGAACTTGGGCTGAGACTCGGCAGGTCCCTGTGCATCCCTCCCACCCTCACCTCCTGTAGATTTTCGTTGTTGTCAGCTTCCTCCACCCACTTCTGCAGCAGGGGCCGCAGCTTACACATGTTCTTGAAACTGAGCTGCAGAGCCTCAAAACGGCAGATGGTCGTTTGGCTGAACACCTTCCCTGGGGATGCGGGTTTAAAGATGCAAGGTGAGGCAGTAGGCTGGTCCCTTGTGACCCCAAGAACCAGGCCTCGCCACCTCTTCCCACCCTCACAAGATCCCACACCAGGGTCCCCCTACTTCCCTTCTTGAGGGAACTCAAGGCTGAGGTATCTTTCCCCTCCCTCTCTACCCTCCTTATGGGTAAGGGTAGAGCTGGTCCCTGAAACACCCTCTGCTCACTCCCTTGGTGGGGGGTAAAGGCCCAAGTTCAGGAATGTTCTTTCCAGGGTAGATGTGGTCCCTGTGTTCTGTGGTCAGAACATGCTGAGGGGGACCCACCAAAGAGAACCCCCAGGGTGAGCCCCACATCGGCCTGGGTATATCCCAGAGTGATCCTCTTCTGCTTCAGGAGCTTGGCAAATTGCTCGAGGTCTTTCTGCAGAGCTTTGATGTCCTGGGACTGCATTTAAAAGGGCAGAGGACATTTTAGAACATAAAACACACTGGTTATCGACCCCCTTCCATTTGGGCCCCAAGAACCTGACTATGGTCCCAAGAATGGTCTGTGGGTGTCATCTCTGCCTCCAGGCTGCTCACCTCACATCTAGAAATAACCTATACACAAATTTCATTCACCCCAGAAAGCAACACATCCATTAGATGCACAGCACCATGCAAGGATGGAAAGACAGGCCCTGGCCTCGATGAGAACACCCGTCAGGTTATGAAGGGAGCTGCTGCCTACTAGCCCGTTTAATACTCACAAAAGCTTTTTGACTCAAGTATTGCCCCCAGTGTGAGGAAGTTCTGAGACTAGAGAAATAAAGAGCACCGTTATCTCTGATTCTTATTTCAATATACGCTCGCCTTGAAGGCCCCATAAACTGACACGGCATGCATATACACAAATAAACACCCTCCAACAAGTAGCAGGTGTCGTAAGAGGTATGAATCAAGTGCTTTGTATATAGTTAGTACTCAATTTTTAAAAATATGATTATCCTTTATTATTACTGTATCTTTTTGCAATATAGATGTCTCCTCACTGATTAATTCTACACTTACTGAGCGCTGTCTATAAGCCAGCCACTACCAAAAGTAGACAAAGAGCCCTGCCCTCCTGGAGCTTCCATTCCATTGTGGAGAGATAGTTATCATCCAGTCTGTTGTTAGGAGTGCTATGGAAAACGGTACAGCAGGGTAGGCGGTGCCGGGGAACGTGGCAGTTTTAAGATAGTCAGTGAAGGTGATGTTTGAGCAAAGGGAAAGAGCCCAGTGGAAAGGCCCTGAGGTGGGTGGGCCCCTGGAGCAGGGTGAGTGGATGGAGGGAAGGGAAGAGGGGAGGAGCTGATGAGGTCTGCAGTGAGCAGGGTGGATCCTGTAGACCATGAGTGCTGTTTGCTCCGTGAAATGGGGAGCCACTGAAAGGTGTTGTGGAGTGAAAGGATCTGACGCTCACATTTTAAAATGTTCACTCCAGTTGACAAGTTGACAATAGACTAAGGAGGAAGTGAGAATATAACTAGGGAGGCAACTGCAGTATTCCCGAATAGATGATGGTGGCTGGGACAGCAAGGTGTTATGTCATTGATTCAGGATGTATTTCCAAGGTTAATTAATTATAGCGGTGTTTCCAAAGGATTGGATGGAGGATGTGAAAGGAATAAAGATGACTGGGTTGGGCCTTGAGCTACTGCGTGATGGATCGGGTGGAGCAGCTTAGGAAGCCACCACTGCAGAAGAGAGAAAACGCGGGAGTCGTGTCTACAAGGTATATGAGCCTTGAGGGTGGGTGAGAAGGAAAGGTAAACACAGCAGAGGTTGATGGACGAAGCCCTGGGACACTCCGAGGAAGGCAAGCGGCCAAGGGGAGCAGAAGAGCAGCCAGGCCTTTGTGCAGTCCTGGAAGCCTTGAGGGAGGTATTTCAAGGGTGATCCATCACATCAAATTCAAACAGGCTAACTTCCACGCCTAACTTCTGCTCAGCCAATATCTCAAACCTATAAATGTCCTCAGCTGTCCCCTTGTTGGCTTTCCCTATCCTATTTTTGGGATTTGAAATAAGGTAAACCCCATTTCAAATATAAATCCTAGCTTCATCATTTAGCAGTTAAGACCCGTGAAATAGGCTAATAATACCTCCCTAGGTGATTTTGTGACGGTTAATGAGCTAATGATGTAGAGCTGAGCACACAGCCTGGCACTTAGGAAATGGACCACAATTGGCAGCCATTATTATTCAAGGCTCAGCAGTTGCCTCCTGCAAAGAGCGTAGGGCTACTGGGGTGGCTGAAACCACTCACACCTCCTTCGGAGAAGCCTAAAGGCTTAGTACTTGATCTCTAATTGCTTACACTCGTGTCTTCGAAGGCCTGGGCGACACAGCCTTAATAGTCCCCAGCGGGGCTGGATGTGGAAGTCCTCAATCCCTCTGCAAACCCGACATTTGGGCAATGGCATGGAGATGACTTCTTCCCCTTTTTCTTTGTCCACAACTTATGGAATTAAGGCTGAAATCGGTCCTTCCATCTCCCTACAAGGGGTGCTGGGGTGTGTACTTCACATAGTGGTGACTCACTGGCCCCGAGGCAGAGGTCAAGGGAAGACAAGCCCTAAACTTGACGGGAGGTAAACCCAACTACACGTCCACACACATGGCCTGAACAGGAGCTTCTATCAGAAACTAGTCACACCCTAGCCCTTCAGGAACAATAACCCCGGGATAAGCACTGTTTTTACCCTTAGGCCACGCTTAACTCTAAGGCCAAGATCCTGGGTCTGATAAGGGTAATGTTTTCAAGAAGGGCTCAGGGTAGGAGAAGAGGCTGAAACCCCAAGCTGGGTCTGGTGCTGGGCTGGTAATGGGTGAGTGACCAGACACTGGTCAGCTCTAGGAAGGGGAAGAAGGAACCTACTTGACAAGGGCCAGGGGGAAAGCAAGGCAAGCCCGGGCCAGCTTCCAACTCCCCCAGGCCGCCCCTGGCCTCACCTGCGGTTCTCCTTGTGTTGACTTCTAGTTCCCACCTCGTCCCTGCTCTCAGGACCGTCTGCAGTCGCCACACACCCCTCTCTGCCTGGGGTGCCACCCTTGCCTGCTCCCGTCTTGGGTTCCAGGCCTAGGCAGCTGCAGGCGACCGCTTCCCCCTCCCCTGGCCACCCCTGCCAGCCCTGCCACCTCTTCCACCCCCGTTGCAGCTCACTTGCCTCCTCGGGGTTTTGTTCCAGCTTCTCCTTGTCCACCTTCACGGCACCAGGGGGGGCAGCGCAGGGCTCAGGGGAGGCCCCCTCGGAGTTGCTCTCCACCCTGGCTCCCGCCTCGCCCTCAGGCTGAGAGGTCTCCAGGCTGCCTTGGGGCACCAGCCCCACTCCAACCTGAGGCCCACAGTACGCCATCCCTCCGCAGAACTCATACGGCGGGGGGCACGGCGGAATGCCCCACACCTCAGCGCCTGGCCCAACCCCCGGCCCAATTCCTGACCCACTAGGAGGTCCCTGGAAGCTCAGCCAGGTCCGAGGGTCAACCCAGCCTGGTTCCGGCCCTCCTGGACCATCGCCTCCACCCCCCGGCGGGGGCGAGAAGGCAAAGTCGGAAGCCAGGTGTCCCGCCATGGGGAAGGACGGCGCCCCAAGCCGGGGGCCTGGTGAAATGAGGGCTCTCCAAGGGACTGCTCAACACCTCTCTCCCTCCCCAATCCCACCCACTAGCCTTGACCTCTGGCCCCGCCCCCTGGATGGGTGGAGGAGAAGGCGGTGGGGGTGGGAGAAACTGAGGCGAAGGGTGTTGGCCTGACGGTGTCGGTGGTGTCTGTGGTAGGGGAAAGCCAGGGGGCTCCAACCTGGTGCCTCTCCAGACCCCAAGGGCCTTGGTGCAGGTCCCCCATGCGGACCCTCTCTTCCAATTCCCAACAGGCTGCCCAGCCCTCTCTTGGGCTCTGGACACCTCAGAGCTATCTGGGATCCCTTCCACACCTCCTCCACGTTCTTTAGGAGCCCAAAGACCCTGGCACCTTCTCTTCAATGGGGCCCAGCCACCCTCTTAGTTCCTCAAACATTTATTGTGTACTGCTGGAGCTACCCCTCAATTCCTTAACCCACCCCTTGCTGGCCTCCCCCACCCCCAGCCCAGGAACCTAGGCATTCCCATCCAGATTACCAGCCAGATTCAGTTACCCCAAAGCCGCGGCTGCCCAACCTGCTAAATTCCACCCCATCTCCAGGGGCAGACAAGGCCTCCCTTCCATATCCCGAGTCTTCCGGTTCCAGAGCCCCCTCACCTACCAGACCCAGGAACTGACACGGGCTTTCCCTTCTAGGGGCCAGGCTCTGGACTGAACTGACTGGGCCTGATAGCTCCCCAACCTTTCTCTGGACTGAGGGCTCAATCACCCCCTCACAGGGTCCCTGCACATCAGGTCCCCGCCTCCCTTTCAGGGACCCAAATTTCTAGTACCTAGTTTGTGTTGTCCCTCCCCCACCTCCCCAGCCCAGGCCTCCAGCCCTAGGCCCTGGGTGGGGAAAGCCAAGGAGGGCGGGGGGAGAAAGAAATATCTGACTTCAGGTTCAAAGAGGCTTGGGAGGGACTGGGGGAAGGGGGTAGGACAATGGCCTTGGCTGGACAATCCTGGTCCCCAGAGGGGGCAGCTCTAACCCTAAACAAGTGCTCAACCCTTGAATGGGCCTGGATGGCTCCCCTGGGGACAGCTTCCTGCCCCTCAACCCCCCAGCCCCAATCCCCTCACACAGAATCCCCCTCAGATGGGCTAAAAGAGCTCCACAACCACCCTCCCCCCCAATCCCCCTCAAAGACTGAGCCTCAGACATGGCCCCCCACTGGCACCTAGGTATCCCACTCCCCTTCCTCTGGAGGACTCGGGCGTCCAGCCTCGGCATCCACCCCTCCCCCAACCCCCAGGCCTTGGGATGTGCTTTGTTGAGGGGGGCTGGCGGAAAGATGCAGAGGGGGTGGAGAGCGATTTGTGGAGGGGGTGCAGGAAGCCTGCCCTAAGCTCTCCTACAGAGCCCATTTTTCTGGGCCTGTCCTGAGGATCTTGAGGGCTCATGCTGCTGGCCTAGTGCTTGATTCTGTTTGCAAGAGAATAGCCCTCAGAGTGCCCGTCTGTGAGGGATGATGTTTGTCTGTCTGCTCCCCAAACTCACCCAAAATGGAGGCCCCAGGGTGAATTAAGGGCTCCGGAAAGTCTCTGGACCAGAGCTCCCTACAGTTCGGAAGGCCAGAGCGCTGAGCGTGGGACTGCTGACCTCTGCTGACCTGAGACATCTCTTCTTCTCAGCCCTGTCTGGGGTCGTTTGCTGGGGTCAGTGGCTCCATGTCTACCTTTTGAGGGGCTGGGTGTCCCAGTGGGGGCCCTCCTGACTGTGGCCAGCTGTCTTCACCTTGGTGGTATCTGTGAGTCTTTTGAGCCTATTTTTTAATCCTCTAAGTCTATCACGCAGCCCTGTTCTTGGGCCCATCTGTATGTACTTTGTGGACAACTAACCGTATGCATACATTTCAATACTCTGTTTGGAAGATCTACAGGGCAGTGGGGCTGGAGCTATACTCACCTCTGAGCCACTAACTGCCCAAAAGGCAGACAGATAAAGGGGCCTGGTGGGGGAGAGATGTGCTTTGGAATAGGAGGGGCCCCTCCCCAGTCATCTCCCCAACCCCCAGGACAGAGCCATCACGGCACCTTTGTCATGCATCTATCTGCTGTCTGCCAAGAAGACGGCCTCCCAGAGGAGGGGGAGGGGCAGGCCTAGGAAATCTCCAACACCACTGCTCTTTGGCTCGCCACCCTCTGGGCTCCCAGAAACCCCTCTCCCCAGGCCAGTCCAGGGAGCCCCTGCTGCCCCTGTCTTCCTAGCAGCCCCTAAAACACCTTCCCCAGTTTCCCCACTCAGCCACACCCGTTTGTAGTTTTAGATTAGTTTGTAGTTGCTCTAGGCGGTATGGTTCTGGCCTGGGCAAGAGGCCTGTTCCAGGGAGAAAGTAAGAGGAGGGGTGCATGTCTGGGTCCGTGCCTGGCTTGTGGCGGGACATCTGAAACCAGGTCAGTTCTGTGCTTGCCTGGAGTCTGACCCAGAACCTTAATGACAGGTTAAATTTGTCTGGAGTCCTAGCCAGCCCCCTCCTGGGATGCTCTGGGCTGACTGAGGCTGAGAAATGCTCCCCTCCCCCTTCGTCACCCTCCTGTTAGGCCTGAAGGGTAGGTGGCTTCACTTCTGTGGAGGCCAGCTCTCTGCAGGCCTGGAGGAGACTGGAAGCGAGGTTGAGTCCTCTGGCCTCGCTCCTCAACTCTCCTAGGTCTTAGAGAGTCACTGAAAAACCTCCAGTCCCCAAACCAATTTAGGACTAGGCTCACAAACTCTCCTCATACACTTTTATTGTAGTGCAATGTCAAGGTCCTTCACAGAGACAAACGCAAGTATCTGGTTGCAGAGCATGCTAGGAGACCAAGGGAGGGCAGGTGAGGTCCACCTGTCCCCAGATGTGGCTGACAAGTATGGCTGCAAAGAGGTGTGATGGTGGCCTCGCTGCTGTCAGCCCAGCCATCCCCTCGTTCCAGCATGGGGTGCTGGTTGGCTGGAAAAACCAGCTGAAAGGGCTCAGATGGGAACTAACGGAGACTTGCTCTAGACCAGGGTAGCAACTCACTTCTTTGACCTCTGGGTTCTGTCACTCTGAAGGCAGGAGAAAGGGAGAGAATGGAGGGCTGAGGAGAGAAGGGTTCAGGCTCCGCCCACTGCGGGAGATGATCCCCCTTCCTCTCATTTTACACATATTCCACTGCTCACTATAAACCAACCCCCTCTTCTCAACACCTGACCTTCTGTTCTCTCCTACGAGATCTGCACACTGAAGTCTTCTCTTCCCAAACCCAGACACTCTTACCTCAAATTGAGGAGACAGCTCTCTGATTGTAGTCTGCAGTGGAGATAGTGAGGGTGGGGAGCCAGGAGAAGTAGTCAGGAATAAACCAAGGGGCTGTAGACCAGGGTTCCAGGCCCTGACTCTGACTTCCTGGCTGAGGGAGCATGAGGTTGCAACTCCCCCTTCTGTGCCTCAGTTTCCTCACCTAATAAAGAAGAACAGGTCTAATGGAACTCTAAATTTCCTTCCAGCCCCAACATAAAATTGCTGCCCCATACACCCTCCTGTCTACCCTCGCCACTTACTGGACGTGGGAATATACATTTCTCTCTGCACACCTGTGAAGAGAAATTGGGGTTGAGGAGGTGGGAGGGGAGGGACTCAGTGAGACGCTGGCAGGGGCCTTCCTGCACCCCACCTCCCACCTCTAAGCAGCCTTCCTGAGAATCTGGCAGGTTTCCCCACCAAGTTTGATCAAGTTATGTGTGAGGAGTTTGGGAGGCCAATTTTGATTTGGTTTTCAGCGCTTGGGAGCTTATGAGAAACACACTTCAAGAGGTAAAACTTCTCATGGAAGACAGCGACAGAGACGTGTGTGTGCACACATACATGTGCATGTACGCGTGTGTGTGAGTTGGGAAGGAGACAATCCAGGCCAAAGGCTAGGGAGGAAACGGAAATCCTAATCTACTCCCTCCTCTCATCATATTCCCTCAGTTGCTCTTTAAATCGCCGCTCTCGGGCCTCAGCCTCCCAGAGAGAGGGATTGCCGATGATCCTCAAGGTCACTTCCAGCTCTAAAATTCTGAGCATACCTGCTGTCCTGCCCTTCTTCCACTGCTTCCGGAGGAAGGTGCCTGCAGCTCCCACAATGACCACAGCAGAAGCCAGAAGCCCACAGAAGATCCAGACAAGGGGGTGGGGGTGGTTAGACAGGGGTCTCTGAAAGATGAGGGCATGTGGGCCACTGACAGACCAGCCAGACTCCCCCCACCCCCCACTCCACCTTTCCTGGGGCCACTCAGGCTGCTCACCTGAGGTCCTGCAGAGACCCAGCATCGGCCTGGTGCTCCACCAGGCAGGACAGCCTCCGCTCATGTCAAAGGGCATCTCAGTGGACTGCTGGCTCTCAGCAGTCCTATCCCCCTGGGATCATGTGGTTTGAAGTCCCCGGGACTCAGGGTCTAGGGGCAGCCCATCCCTCAGCTAGGTTAGCTGGACTAATGGAAGACAGAAGCCAAGGGCCTTCTAGGGGCTTCGTAGGGTCACACACACTGAGAGGACATAAGTGTGATGGCAAAGGAGACCTAAAGACCTCCCGGACCAGGGAAGACTTGCTGCCTCTGGCCTCTGGTCTTGCCAAACTGCCGTGCATCATCCTCCACTCCAGGGCCAGGGCCACCACCCAGGCACTACTGGCGCTGCATTCCAGGGTGACTCTTGGTCACGCCCCACCCTGAGTGTCCTTGGGTGCTAAGCCCTGGGTCAGAATTTGAACACTAAGTGGAGAAAGGGCTGGCCAAATATGTGTGAGAGAAGACAAGCAGAATGGCTAGGCTGGTCAGTGACGGAACTGTGCTCACAAAGGACCCAGGTAATGTGGAATGCGTGAGGCTGGCTCAGAGGCTTGCTCTCCCAACCCTCCACGCAGTGCCCTCAGCCCCTCCACCTTCCTACACTGATCAGTCCGCACCTATCACTCCTATGGTAGGCTGGGGCCCCACCCCAGCTTCCAGGTATTTCTGGAGAGGGTAGATGCAGCTCTGGGTCAGGAAGGATTGCTCCTTTCCCTTCTCCCCATCTGCAGTTCTGCTTTTTTTCTGGATTGCTTTGGCTGGAGTTGGAAAACTCAAGTGTGCTGAGAAGGAAGTCCTGGCCATCATAGTTTTACCGCCAGTATCCCCGGCTGTTTTGTTTCCCCCGCAACTTACAGACCACTACGGTCTGGAGGGTGTGTGATTCTGAAATGCCAAAGCCCCAGAGCTCCAAAGTTACAGGAGAACAAAACAGTGGCATTCTCCACCTCCACTCCCACCACTTCCCAAAATGCCTGGAATTCCCTTCTCCAACTGATAAAAACCCTCACTCATGCTCTAAGACATACCTTCTCTGTCATGTAGGGGCCCAGCGAAGTCACGCTGCACCCCACCCTCAACCCCCTGCAGCAAGTGGCTCCCTCCTGCGTTCCCAGCATGCATTGCTCATGCCACAGTTATGGTACTGACCACACTGGGTCCTCGTTGCTATACACCCTGAAGGCAGGGACCCATGCCCTGGGCCCAGCACAGCATCATGTTTAAATGCTACATCTAAATGCCACTGCTGGCTATAATGCCCAGGGCAAATGTAACTGAACCTCTCTAAGCCTCACTTTCCTCATCTGGGAATTGGAGATAATAATAGTCCTTGCCTCACAAGTGAAGATCAAATGAGATAATGCACGCTGGTGCTAATGTAAAACCTGCCAATAAGAATTCAAGAAATGGTAGCTGCTATTGTAATGTTCACTGTTGGTAACAGCACAATGAACAGCACTCACTAGACCCTCAGATGTTTGCTAGATGAAAAAAAAATGATGTAGGTTAGAAACAGATTTCCCTTGGGACACTGACCAGGTCTCTAGGGTTCCTATAATTACTGGTCAGGGTGGGGAGGTGGCTAGGTCAGAAAAAGGCTGATGATTTCCTAGACCCTGGATTTGAAAAGTTGGATATGATTTTTTTCACCTGAAGAGAAGGCTTGGGAGCCTAGAGACAACGGGGATTTCTCTAGTCCTACTCCCTGACTGGTGGAAGGGTGGCAGTCTTATACTTATGTCCTACGCTTTCCAATACCCAATATCTAGACTTTTTGGCACCTCTGGGTACACAATATGATTTGATGTCAGGGATGAAATCCCCCAGAAAGAAGAAGGAGATATCAGAATCTCGGTGAAGGTTGCCGTATCTAGAGTGCCCAGCATAGTGCCCTGCACCGAGCTTAATACATATTAGTTGAACAACAATGAGCGCACAGCTCCATAGCTTTAGGACTGTACTGATCACCTTCTCCCTGCTACACATACACACAATCACCTGGGCTCTGGTGGTTCTTGCTCCATGATGCTCCTTAGGTTGACAACAAGGTGCTGGGCTCTGGCCTTCAGTCTGAGAATCAGATTCTCCCAAGCCCCTGGATCCCTAGCCTGGGACCAGGGTGCCCGGGGCTCTGCCCACCTGCCCTCCCTGCAGCACCATAAGAAAGGCTGATCATCCAAGTAGCCTGAGAATTCCTAAGGGGCTTGCCTAGGGCTGGACTGGGAAAGAGCAATGAAGTCACAGCGCAGAGAATGGGTTGCTGAGGGAAAAAGATATGGTGGGAAAGGAGGCGTCGTCACGGGGACATGGTCTCACCAGGTTCCCATGAGGTGAGGCTGTATGACTATTTTTAGGGCATCAAAAGAATGGGTAAGGAGAATGGGGAGTGAACAGTGGGAACGGAAACTCTTGTTTCCCTGCAGGATCTCATCCAGGCTCATTGTTTTAAATAGTAATGACTCCCAATATCTAAATCCCTGCCCTTCACATCAGTACATCCAACCACCTGTTGGCCATCTTGCCCGAACGTCCTACATCGCCTCAAACTCAACACACCCAAACTGAGCATATCCCCTTAGTACCACCAGGGAACAACCTGGCCCTCATCTTACCCTCCTGGTGGTAGCATCACTATCTAATCCACCTGCTTACTCAAGTCAGAACGGGGTTGTGGTGTGGGAAACCACCTCGATGCCCCGGTAGCCTCCTGGTACAGTACCACGAAGGTGTTTCAGAGGTCACGGAACCAAAAGGCTCACAGAACAAGTAAAGATGCTCGAATCATATGGCTTACTAAATAAATGTAAAACACAGTGAGAAACAAGGGGAAAGTGATGGGGTAGCACAGGATCAGGTGCAAGTTGGGTGGAAGGATCACACAGCCCGAATTCTGGGTTACCCAATGTGCACCTGTCCCATCAAATTGAGGCTTCCTGAACAGTAGGTACCTGAGATGTCCCATAGATTTAGGGTATCATGAGTATTTAGTGCCTACTTGGTCCTTCTTCCCCTATCTCAGTTCGCACAAATAAGTTCTACTTACTTATCAACGTCTAACATGGCTCACAGATTACTAATTTACTTATCTATGAGTAACACTTCTTATGAGTTCCATCCATCTCATTTGATTTCTTGTTTTCTATAGCACAACCGGCTATTCCCAAACAATGAGCAACTGTGCTTTCCATGGCTGCTTATCCTAAATTGCTGCCTCCCTCAACACCTCCTAGTTTCAAACAATTACCAAACCTGCCCAGTTGTTACTTCCTATTTCTTGATCTCGACATTCCTTTCTATCCTCACCAAACCAATCCAAAGCATGGCTCTCTCGGATTACAGCTGGAGTCTTTCCAACTGGTCTCCCTCCTCCGGTCTTCACCATTTAGAATCTGTCCTTCCTGATATAATCAGAGTGACCTATCTGGAAACACATATCTCACTACGTACCACTCTGCTGCTCCTTCAAGGATTCCTTTTGTCCTCAGGATGACTTCCAAGCTTCTTAGCAGGCCCCTCAAAGGCTGACTTCTCGACCTTCATCTCCCACCACTCCCTGCCTTCACTCGACCCTCTTGGACCAGGAATGTTTGAGCTTCTCCATCCTCCTGCCGCTCCTCCACGGCCCAGTGTCTTCCTGAGAATGTCCACACTCAAGGGAAGACTCATTCCCCTCTTCCGCTCCATGCACCAGCACAGAAGCCCTTACCCTGGCCTCAAGCCATCTACCATGCTGCCAGACCCCTTTATCTCGGAGCTTACCTCCGACTCATACGCAGAGAATGGTGGGCTAATCCAAGGCCACACACATCCCCTACACATTCATCTACAGCTGTACTTCCCGAGCAGGCCGTCCCTTTTCTTGCTCGAAGTCAACTCCTTGGCCTCCCTTTGATCCCTTGGTTATTCCCCTCTATCCAGCAGGGAAACTGCCCTGAGCACCAGCCCCTGAGAGAGGTAGGAGGGTACAGTGCAGTCTCGCCAAGCTGGCCAGAGCCTAGGAATCACCTGGGCTGTTTGTTTCCCAGGACTTTCCTCTCGAGAGCCCGACTCAGGAGGTTTGGGTGGGGCTCAATCTATTTTAACAAGCACTTCATTGATAATTCTTATGAGATGTGCTGCCTTTGACCAGGTTTTAACTCTCTGAGCCTTATTTTCCTCATGTATAAAATGAGGAAACAGGGCTGGCCCGGTAGCATAGTAGTTAATTTCCACGTGTTCCACTTTGGTAGCTGGGGCTTTGGATCCCGGGCATGGACCTACATCACTCATCAAGCCATGCTGTGGTGGTGACACACATACAAAATGGAGGAAGACTGGCACAGATGTTAGCTCAGGGCCAATCTTCCTCACAAAGGAAACAAAGAGGAAATAACGCCCAACTCAGAGGATTAGAGGTAACACCCCTCCCCCCACAAAAAGCACCTAGTAGGGGCCAGCCCCATGGCCTAGTGGTTAAAGTTCTGCAGGCTCTGCTTTGGTGATCCAAGTTTGTGGTTTTGGATCCTGGGCGGGGACCTATACCACTTGTCAGCCATGCTGTGGTGGCAACCCACAAACAAAATAGAGGGAGATGGGCATGTGTGATAGCTCAGGGCACATCTTCCTCAGCAAAAAAAAAAAAAGCGTCTAGTAGGTATTTTAAAGCATATTTGTAATTAAACATAGCTGCTGTTGTCATTGGCTCTTTTTTCAGAAATATCTCTCTTTAGACTCACTCCTTATCTTCCTAAACAAGCCCCTAGAATAAACTGTCCTTCTCTACTTCCTTAGCCCCTACTCACTTTTAATTAACAAAATATCTTACTTGATTTTTTTTCTGATAAAAAAGTAATACCAACTAACTCAGAATAATATCACGAAGAAAGTGATAGGCCCACCAACCCCCCCTCCCCAAATAACTACTGTTGTCAACTTGGCGAATGTTCTTCCAGATTACTTTTCATGAATAGGTAACTCACTTTTTAAACAAAAAATGAGATTCTACTGTTATGTAATTTATTTTTCCACTTAGTAAATATATGTCTCATCAGACTTTGCATTTGCCTCCACCTCAACAACATGCTGATCTGTTGAGGTCACCAGTCACTTCCTAATTGCTAAATCCACCAACTCTTTTCAGCCCTTATCTGACGGGGTCTCTCAGCAGCCGGTGACCCTGGATTTCTCGTCCTCTTGTCACTGTCCTGCTTGAGAGCTGACTCCTCTCTTCACCTCCCAGTGCCTGAGCACTGACTGTCAGGTTTTCTGAGTCACTTCCTCAAGCCCTACCCTCTGCTCATTCTCCAAGTACTGCCTGGAGAAACCCACTCACCTCTGGGACTTCTCATTACCCTTGTGGCTCCCACCATCTCTCTTCCACACAGCTGCTCAGGTGATCTTTTCCAAAAACAAGTCCCATCATTTTACTGCCCTGCCTCAGACCCTTCAATGAGACCCTCCCCACTGCCTTCAAAAACAATCAATTTCTTGGCCTGATTCCTGTGGGAAACTCGGACCTGCCTAGCATTTGGAATCAGAAAAATCTGGATTGACATCCCTCAGTCACTAACATACCAGCAGTGTGAATTTAGGGACATTATATAACTTCTAAGCCTCCCTGTCTCATCTATAACCCATAACCCAGAAAATAAGACCTGAGGGATCTGGCTGAGAGTCAATAGTTTAATGTTAGTAAATACCTAGAAGGCAAAGGCAGAGATGAGCGCTCTAACAACCCATATGCTGATTCAGCCTGCGCCTTCCCACCCCCAGTCAGGTTTCAGATCTACCTGTGGTTCCTAGAACCCCACTCTGGCTGTCTGGTTGCCTGGAGTGCCCTCTCCCCTCTGGTTTGTCTACCCCAGACCCTGCTCATCCTCCAGCACCGAGTATCAGCCGCTGACATCTCAAGCCTTCTGCACCTCCAGAGTGGAATTCACTCCCTCCTTTGGGAAGCTCCAAGACCCTAGCATTCTGCTATGATAACATCTATAACACTCGACTGCATTAATCTGCTCCATAGTTTTTCACCAGACTGACACCCTTTAAGATCAGATCTTATTCATCTTTGCATCCCTCATGACAAGCAGGAAGTAGTTAATCACTGAGTAAAGGTTGCAAAAATCAATTTGATATAAAATTCATCTTTTCTCTATTCATCTCCTGCCACGCTACGTGTAGGAGTTAAGGTCAAGGTTCAAGTGTGGGCGGAGAGGATTCGGGGTAATCTATGTAACAGAGGCAACTGGTCTCAGAGACACCCTACCTCCCCCGCCTGGCCTTATCTTCCCTCAGATTTGGCAATCTCCATCTCCCCAGTCCTCCCTGGCTTCAGGAAATGGTCACAAAGGGCCTCATAAAGGCCACAGTTTGGGGGAGGGTGTGGTTGCGGGAACTGGAGGGGGTCTACACAATTGGGCCAACCCACAACTCAGCGCCCGAGAGGCACCGTCAGAGCTCTGGCGGTGGGGGTGGGGGCACTAGGCCTCAGTTTCCCTGGAGGGCAAGCCTCTTGCTGCGGGGCTAGGGATAGGGGTGGGGGTGGGGGTGAGGGTGGGGGTGGGGGCGCGGTCAGCAGGCCTGGAAGGCGGAGTAGGGCCCCCGCACACTCGGCCTCCCGCACTCACTGGCCTGGCTTCTGCAACAAGGCGCCCCCAGCAAGCACAGCAGCAGGACCAGCGAGAGCAGGCCGGCCGGCCGGCCGGCCGAGAGGCGCGCATCTCGCCCGGGGTCTGAGCCCCAGCCCGCGGCGCCACGGACGTCAGACACCACGCCGGGGAGCCGCTGAGTCTGGGCCCGCCCGGTCCGGGCCTGAGCGGCGCGTCCCGAGAGGCTCCCATTGGGCCGTAGCTGCTTGGGAGGCGGTACTTTCCCTTTTCCTTGCCTCCCATTGGACTAAATCTAGTTAGAGCCGGGACTCCGTCTTCCGCAGTCGCAGAGAGGCGCTTTGGTCCATCCCGGCTCGGAAATCTGACTTTTAAGTTGTTCTTCTTCGGTCATTGTGTAATATTGTGTTTTTAAAAATCAGCTTTTATGTCTGAATTCCTATCCTCCGACTAGCCCCAACTTCCATTTTCAGTCACAAGATCATTTAAAGATACATCAGAAGTTTTATTGGTTTTGTTTTTAATTGAGATAAAATACTGTAAAGTTTACCATTTTAACCATTTTTTAGTGTACCATTTAGTAGCATTAAATACATTTACATTGTTGTGCAACCATCACCAAAGAGCTTTTGATATGTATAAAATTTAAATTACAAAAGTAATACACGCTTGTTGTTACAAGTGAACAACCCAAAAATTTATACAAGAAAAGTTAACAAATGCACTGTTTCCACCACCAGGAGGTAACCACCTTACCAGTCTGCTGTATACCCTTCCACATGTTTCTCTGATGACTGTACAAACAGATATCCACATTTGAAAGTTTTATATTTGCTCTAACAAAGATAGACTAATGCTAATAATACTCTGCAACTCATAAACATCCCTCCATACATACAGGTTAAACTCCTTTGTAATAACTGCATAATAGTCTATAGCATGGATGTGTCACAATTTATCCAGTCTTTGCGCTCTTGCTGGACATTTGGGTTGTTTCCAGTTCAACACTACAAATAAAGCTACAATAAACATTCTTACATATTCTTAACCTCAGGTTCTTCCTTCTCTAGGGGCTATTCCAGACCATGGGTTGCCGGGCTGGGGGTGGCATTTTCATAAATATCGTCAAATTATGTTCACAAACAATGGAAGCAGTTTTCGGTCTCCACAGTTTTCATTCTCAAGAATGCTCTTTTCCCTGTGTCTTTATCAGCTGTAGATGTCATGGCTAATCAGCTGAGTGACCTCTCATAGGTTTGCAGGTCATTTGGATTTGTAATTTAAACCTTTTAATGAGGCTGAAGTGCCAAGTTTATCTGCGCCTCAAGGAGATTTCATCTCCCCTTTAATTCAGCCATGGTTAGTCTTGCTCTCAGGCTGGCTGTGTCAGTGACATCCATGGGGAACACCATGGGATGCAGTCATTCCAGGGCTGTGAGAGGTTTGGAAGAAGGCTAGACCCAGGAGAAGTCCGAGTGGGCAGTAGTGACCAGTAGAACCCAAGTGTCTTGGGCCAACGTCCTTGGGGACTGGCCTCTTCACCCCAGCTGTCTTCCTTGTTCTGGAATGAGATTGCCCATTCCTCAGGAAGACTGAAAGGAATTCAGTCAGAAGAGCATTATTCATCAATGTCCAGACTTGAATTCTAACAGAGTTCTGGAACCTGCCATACCCTATGTGTCAGCTGTATCCAGGTCTCCTTCTCTGAATTACCCGGGCCTCCCTCCAATGACCAGAATGACATCTAATTTTAACACAGAAGGAGATGATCACAATTTGCTCTAGTGTCTTTGTTCCCACCTAGACAGTAAAATCCTTGAGAGCAGGTGCTCTCTTACTCATTTTCTTATCCCCAGAGGCAAGCACAGTTCTTGGCAGACAATAAACACTCAGTCATGAAGTGAATGGGCTGGTGTGGGGAAAGGCAGAGACCCCAGGAGAGGGAGGGCCCAAGAAGGGCAAAAGCAATTTCTTCTTCCTTCCTCCCCTATTCTTCTAACCCTTGTGAGTTAGAGGAGAGAGAGAAAGGGGTGCTGGGTGGATCAGAGGGGAGATGCCGATTCTTTGAGGAGGCCATGGGCGGGGTTTTAGTGCAGATCCAGCTCGCTGGAAGGCACTGTCCCCAGTCTCATGACCCATGCAAAATCTTTCTCTTTTTAGGAGTCTTTTTTTTTTTTTTTTTCAGTTTTGTTTTTTCTTTTTCTCCCAAAGCCCCCCGGTGCATAGTTGTGCACCCTTAGTTGTGGGTCCTTCTAGTTGTGGCATGTGGGACGCCACCTCAGCACGGCCTGATGAGCGATGCCATGTCCATGCCCAGGATTTGAACCAGCAAAACCCCGGGGCCGCCGAAGCAGAGCACATGAACTCAACCACTCGGCCGCCGGGTCGGACCCTTCTTTTTAGGAGTCTTGAGGTGGGATATGGAAACAGGAGTCCTGGTACCAATCCAGCTTTGCTTTTGGGTGATTTTGTAGATGGGGTACTTAAACTCTTGACTCTCAGTTACAGATCTCTAAAATGGAAGTTTCCTCCTCCAAGAAACATTGTGAAGGTTAAAGGAGATACTGTACTAATAGTTCCTAATACTGTACTAATACAAAGGTCCTGGCAAATAATATATGTTACAAAGAAGTGAGCCACTTCACTCCATCAATTTCTCCCTCTTCCCACAAAACCCCTAATGCCTCCTCTGGCCCACATTGATTTCTCTCTTTTCTGAAATCATACAAGTCACAAAATGTTGGCTAGCAGATGCATATGATCTTATATCATTATCCTGTAGTTGTTTGGTACATTTACTCTTTTCTCTTAAAATGTGGAGGTGCCCAATATCAGGGGTTTTGAGCTCTTTCTGCTTCTCTTCCCTCTGGCCTAGTTTGGGTGCTCGGCAGCTGTTTCATGTCACCAGTTATGAATCCCCTTTGCAAAAGCTGT